AAAAGAGGACATTACAGGGTTGCCCAGCATAGCCAAATTATTTAACACAACAGTATTGGTGGTGGTAGTCCTAGTAACAGTGATTCCTTCTTTATCAGTTCGCACAGCTTCTTTAAGGTAGTTAGGAACTTCTAAATATAGTTGGTTATGATAGACATTGGCTTGCTAAATTCCCTGTTGCGCCAAATCATGCGCTATGTTGTTTCCTTCCCTGAAACTGTGTAGGATGGGTGGATTCCCCAACATCTTTAGCCAGTACCTGCATTTACAAAGAAAAACATTATAGAGTGGTGAGTAATTTGATTCAATTAGTGATGGTATAGCGGCAGAGTCTGTCTCTATTTGCAAATTTATGAATTGGTAAATTACTGCTAGTTCTAGGCCTTGGCATAATGCCTCAAGCTCAATGTATAGAGGAGAGGGACCCGTAGTTGCTTTACAAAAGCCCAGAATCCAGTTCCCAGTCGAGCCTCTGAATACCCCACCTATCCCTCCTTGCTCAAATCTACCCTTAAAGGCCCCATCTATATTGAGCTTCAATTGGTGTATAGTAGGGGGTTCCCATTTGGTAGCAACTTGTAAGGGTCTATCGAGTTTGTTGCAGTTGATGTTACTGCAATGCAAATATTCCATGGCTCTTTAGATAACATGATTGCTATCCACTGAGTTACAAAGATTGTGGAAGATGTTTCTATTCCTATTAAGCCAGAGAAGCCAAAGAGTGAAGGAGAAAAGACAAGCCCATGTCGAGGAAGGGTATATGGTGTGTGGTTTTTGTTTGTATAGACTATCTAGCCAGTGGGTGGAAAGGGTATCAACTAATTGAATGCTCACGCCTAGAGCTTCCCATAACTGCTTTGCTATTGGGCACAATAGGAAAATATGTTGAGATGTTTCCTCTACGGTAGGGCATACTGGGCAATACCAAGAAGTGGCTACTCTAATGTGATTCAAGAAGATTTTTGTAGGTAATCTATCATGGTAGCATTGCCAAAGAAAATATTTATGCTTATTCCAAGTTTTTAATTTCCATAGCCATTGAAAATTCTTACTTTGGTTGTGGGTTGCATTAGCAGTAATAAGAGAGTAAACGAAATTTGTGATAAATATACCATCAGTGGTTGGTGCCCAAATTGGAGTATCAGTGTGGTTCTCGTTAATAGTGGGTTGAATAGAGTGGATTTGAGTTAGAATATGGGGAGAAAATTTAAAGGATAGTCGTGATAGGTCCCATGTCCCATTGTTGAAGATATTAGAAATCTTGAGGGTTGACTCTTGGTGTGGTAGGGGACATGGACCATACTCCTTAGGCTTTTTATGCATGGTAGCCAATTTGCATGCCAAAAAGCTACGTGGGAACCATCTCCAATATGCTATGCAGTAGCATCTTTATAAATGGTCCATCCTGTGAGGATATTTTTCCATATGAAAGAATGTGAAGTATTTGAGTACCGACCGTTGTATTTGGAGTTAAGTAAGGTTGCCCAGATAGTGGTGGGATGGTTAAAAAAAATGCCAAGTGAGGCTTGTAAGAGCCGCTTTGTTTTTATCCAAGGATTTTCATATCCCCAGACCCCCATCCTGCTTAGGCAATGAGACAGTATCCCATTTTATATAATGAATCTTTTTGGATGTGGGGTACTTCCCCAGAAGAAATCTCGTTGAATTTTGTCAATTTGCCGGTGTGTTTTTTTTGGGCAGCATGGTGTATTGCATGATGTGATTAGGGAGAGCATTGAGGGTTGTTTGAATGAGAGTAGCTCTCCCTGCTAGTGATAGGAATTGAGTTTTCCAACTATTAAGTCTTTTGTTGAGGTTGTCAAGGATGAAATTGTAGTCCCTTGGTTTAGGTTTGGTACTCAGAATTGGAATACCTTGGTATTTTCCAAATGCGTCACTAATTTTGATATTTAGGATGGCAGACATTGAAATTCTTTGAGAATTTGAGCAGTTATTAGAAAAGAGTAGTTTTGATTTTGAATGATTAATTTATTGCCCTGATAATCTACTGAAGTAGTCAAGACAACGTTTGATTGTGGAAGCATATTTCTCATTGGCTGTAGCCATTAAGATTAAATCATCCGCGAAGAATAAATGGGAAAGAGGTGGCCCCTTGGGGCTTATTTTAATAGGATCTCACAGAGTTAAATCAACTTGGTGATTGATAAGGGTAGATAGTAATTCAATACAAGGGATAAATATATATGGTGACATAGGGTCACCTTGTCTAATGCCCCTAGATGGGTTGAAGAACTCCGTTTGAGATCCATTGACCAGGACAACAATACTAGAGGTAGTAATGCAAGAGATGATGAGTTTGGTCATTTTAGGTGGGAAATGAAAATAGTGGAGGGCTCTACGAATCAAGGACCATTCCAGGCGGTCAAATACTTTTTCCAAATCGATTTTAAGGAGCATTTTTCCCTTATTCCCTTTTACTTTCTTATAGTGGTGGATAATTTCTTGAATGATAATGGAATTATCAGCCGCCCGTCGTCCTTTTAGAAAGCTTGATTGAAAAGGGCCTATGAGGGTATCTAAAAAGGGTTTTAGACGGTTGACAATGATTTTGGTAATAACTTTATAGGTAGTATTACAAAGTCCAATCGGCTTGAAATTTTTCAGCTTGTTGGCATTAGGGAATTTGGATATCAAATACAGAGTGACAGTAGTCATAGATTATTTTATGGACAATGTGCCAATACTTTTGATAAAAAAAAAGGGTGTATTCCATCCGGGCAAGGGGCTTTAAAAGGTTTATACGAGAAAATATCCCTAGTAATTTCATGATTGTGCAGTGGTTTATCCAATGCTGATAAATCAGTAGCACTGGATGAGACTGGGGAAGTATGGGTGGGCAGCCAATTTGAGGATTCATGGCTTGTTTGATAGATGTTGTGGAAATAATTAAAGGTGTGTTGAAGAATTTGATCGGGATCATTAATCCAATTATTATGAGCATCCTTAAAAAAGGAGATACGATTTTTCCTTCTCCTATTAAGAACACTTATGTGAAAAAATTTGGCACTAGCATCACTTTCACTAAGCCAATTTATACGTGAACGGAGTTTCTAGTAATCCTCTTCTGTTTTTAAAAGAGTGCTATACTCATTAGTGAGGGTTTGCTCGAGATTTTTTAAAAAAACACTCGTAGGATAGTTGGTGGATTTTTGGATTCCACTAAGTCGTGCTAGGATTGTTTTCTTTTTCCTAATAACATCACCAAAATTTTTGGCAGCCCAATCTTTAACTTTATTAGTGAAAAGAGTGGTGGCATTGGATAAATTTTGACCATTCCAAGTATCCATAACCATAGAAGTAAAATCAGGGTGATGGCACAAGAATGTTTCAAGCCGGAAAATACGGTTAGTGTGAAGCCTAGTGTAATGAGATAGGGAAATGAGGAGGGGTGTATGATCATAATAACTCTTAGGTAGATGGGTAACAAATACATTTGGGTAATATTCGAGCCATTGTTCGTTAATAAAACACCTATCAAGTCGTTCCAAAATTAAATCGGGACAATTATATCTATGATTAGACCAAGTGTATTTAGCCCCCTTAAACCCAAGATCCATAAGCTGGCAGTGATTAATACAAGATTGAAATCTAGATGCTCTATTGTGATTAATAGGTCTCCCACCCCATTTATCTTGTTGACTAACAACTTCATTGAAGTCGCCACCTAGGAACCACATGTCCTTAAAATTGTTGGCAATNCCAAAAATTATTTTTATCGACAATGATATCCCTCTAGACCATGCAACATATGATATCCCTCTAAACCCGTACTCGCAGTAGTGACCCTCCCTTCGCTGTTCGGGATTTTTATGGTCTCTTATGCTCAAGTCCCGGTCTTGCGAATTGACCCTGACTTTGCTGTCAAAGACTTTTCTGGTGTCTTATGCTCCCGTGCCGGTTTCGCAAACTGACCCTCGCTTCGGTGCTTCATTAACAAATTTGCTGCCCAAAATGACTCAATATTAACATTTTCTCTTATTTTATCTACGTTTAAATTGTGTGCATTTTTTTTTCTTTAGTCTTCCTCGTTCGTAATGTTAAAGTTTAAAGGTTATACGTACACTGATTAAAGAAATGAATTTTGGCCCCAAATAAGCAGAGCCAAAGAACCAACCTTTGTCAATTCACCATCGTCGTTGTTTAAAATTTTAACAAAAATTTGGATTCCCGGACTTGTGGGGATCTTTCATTGACTAAAGTATTTTTTTTAAAAGGTTTTTTCATTAATAAACACCAAATGGTGTCAAAAGTATATCGAAAGTGTGTGTGATCGACCACATACATACATCTGTTATTATTCAAATCATCTATAGATATTTTACAAAAAAAAAAAAAGAAATAAGATGAGATTTTAATACATTTTACATTCCAAGCACTCTTTCACAGGACATTCCATTTCTTTCACTCCAAGTTGGCCGAAAATTTTCAGGAAAGGCATTCATCTGTTTCCTTCCTTTCATTGCCAATTCTCTGTAAACATCCCAACTTGCGAGTGCCTTTGTCACAGTCGTAGTTAACACCTGCGCTATGTTGAACAGCGAGAATGCTGATTTCAAAAAAGATTTTAACAAAACTACAATGCAAAGGGCAGATGGCTAGTCTCCTCTGTGAACTCCATGGACAAGTGGACAAAATTACCATTATCTGCTTCCTTGCTTAAGTTATGTGTCATAAATAATGCACTGTGTACTGTGAACGATATGAAAAAACCTACATTTTTTGTGCCTTTATGTTCCACATTTTCTTCTAAACCACCCTCCTATATATCCTTACAACTGATTTCACCATGACCGTTTCTCCTTAACAGGGATGCATCTTTACAATAATATGGAGACATCAAGCAGAATTTGGTTTCTAACAGTCAATACATTTCTCAATAAGAAAACAAAGACATGGGTGCTATTTGTAGTTTCTTCCAGCTTAGAAGCATATTTGTCTATTCAAATCTCGACATAAAGTAAAACTGAAAAGTTAAACCGGACAATTAAGATGAAATGATTCAAATATACTATTCTTAACTAATAACAGTACTAATAATATACTAAATCTATCTATAATAGTTCTTGATTTTTCCAAAGGTAAGATTCACAAACACCTTATGTTGTTTTCTTCTTCTTAAATACTCTCTTCATTTTATTTCCTGACAATTGTGCATTCGGATCTTCTTCAACCATTGTTGCGGTATTAGTTATACCTATCTTGGCTGGTGTATGTGCAATATCTGTTAAGTCGTTATCTTCAGTGGAATCCTGCATATATAAAATACAAAATTAGTGCAAATCAGTAATGAACAAATATTACTAAAGATTTATTAATTATACCCTACAATAATATAATCAAAAAAAATGAATAAATCTAAAAAAATATTAAATACTGTGTTCATGAATTCAGAAAGAAAAAAACCAAAGTAAGCGCANCCAATGCTGGAGCTATGGGGTCGAGAACATTCATCACCCAAAGGTGGTTGATGTAGTTTGACATTGCTAGCCTCATGCCCTCCGAAATTAGCTGGGCTAGAATCTGAGGGTTTTGGAGGACAAATAGAACCTCCTGGTTCTGGATGTTCAACGTAAAGAAGGCTGCTTGTCCCTGAAGCCCTTGTTCCAACCATGTCGTTGGTTGATGATCCTGGGGGACGGTATTCGTGACATAGATTTGAAGATTTGGATTTGGTACTTGGTTGTCCATTCTGGATAGTATGGATGGACGTTGGTGGGGGGGATAATTGGTTTAGTGGTATTCTCCTCCTTGTGAAAGGTTGTGTTGGATTCATTTTGAGGAGTGGAAGATGTAGAGACAGTAGGAACTTGGGGCTCGTGAGGCAATGATTGAGTAGGTAATATAGAGATTTGGGTTTGCATTCTTTGTGTAGTTGCTTCCGACTCTAGGTTATCCCTCATTGGGGAATTAGTTTGCATGGCCACGTGGCCATTGTTGTGTGACAAGTTGCTAACCGGTATATTAGGGGAATTATGGGTAAGAGGGGGCGTGCCTAGTAGATGTTTAGGGAGTGGGGCCGCTGGTTTGTCTATAGTGGTATTGCATGCAACAACAGTGCCACGTGGACTATCAATTTGGGGGGTAGTGGAATGGTTTCGTGTGGGAGAAGAGTGGGGATTATCTGTAGATTGGCTATGGAAAATTTCATCCAAATCCATTCTAGCTGATTACTCTTCCTTCATTGAATCATTGCTATTAGCAAGCAATGATGAGAATTTATTAGAGGTTCGAATAGTAACAGTAGGATTAGCATTAGGCTTATGATGTTCAGTAGTAGAATGACATAAATCCTCTAATTTTTGTTGCTCAGAAGTAAAAGGATTTTTAAGGCTATATTTATATCTATATCTATATTTATCGTTCGTCTTTTTTACCCTTAAAAAATAAAGTTTACCTTAGACAAAATAGTCATTCAATTGTTTTTCCTAAAATTTAGGAATTCAAATTTAACTAACGTTTTAGCCATTATCTCTTTCCCTATGTAAGTCCTCCTATTATTTAGTAATTTAATACCACTTACGAATTTAGTAATCTCTTGACTAATATTTTAGTGCATTGAAATTCCAACACATAAAAGGAGTAAGTAAACTTATTAAGTTATCGAACAAAATATGCAATTGAATGGAAACGTAATCCACCGAAGATCAAACAATTATGGTCTTCTTCCTTTAAGGAGAAACTAGTATAGTACCCGCGCGATGCGCGGAAAATACGTAGAAAAAAAGATAATAAATTATTAACTTACTTGCTTAACAGAGTGAGTAAACTTTATGTGAATATTTCAATCATAACATAGTTGCTGCCATATTAATTTTCTATGATACTTCCCGAACAATTGCCTTGGATGAACAATATAAATATATATTAATAGTTTAAAGTTACCGAAAGGAATATAAGTGAAGTTAGAATTTTCATTTATAAAGATATACTGTACTGCAAGTTTACTTTGGATGTATTCATATTTTTAATGACCTAAATATATATAGATTTGTCATTAATTTTTGATTTGAAAAGAGGCAAAACAGATTGTAAAGTATTACTATACATGGGAATTACATTTAATCAAGTAAATAGCGTAAAGTAATGTGTGTATTCATGTTTTTCCTCTTTTAAGACATTTGATATGTCGTTAAAATTGCATTATTTGAAGGAATAAGTTAGTGTTATTCCATTATGTTATTTATGTTATGTAATGCTGTTAAGAAAAAAAAAAGAGTTAAATGACAGGTAATGTTTCAAAGAAATAAAAAACTTTGATTAATTTAAAAAATTACAGGTAGTCGTAGAGACGATTCCCCCACTCAGCTTCAAATTTAACAACATAAACCCAAAAAGGTTCACTTGGCCAAACCTCGTGATAAATGTCAGTTAAAATACTACCTAAAGGTTGTCCAAGTGAATCTACTAAAATTGATAAGGCTTCCCAATCATATAGTATAATTTTGTCTATAGCATCAATTAGTGCATCTCGAGTAAGCTGATAATTTGCAATATGTTCATTGACTAAAGTATTTTGTTTAAAGTTTAAAGGTTATACGTACACTAATTAAAGAAATGAATTTTAGCCCCAAATAAGCAGAGCCAAAGAACCAACCTTTGTCAATTCACCATCGTCGTTGTTTAAGATTTTAAAAAAAATTTGGATTCCCGGACTTGTGGGGATCTTTCATTGACTAAAGTATTTTGTTTAAAAGGTTTTTTCATTAATAAACACAAAATGGTGTCAAAAGTATGTCGAAAGTGTGTGTGATCGACCACATACATACATCTGTTATTATTCAAATCATCTATAGATATTTTACAAAAAAAAAGGAAATAAGATGAGATTTTAATACATTTTACATTCCAAGCACTCTTTCACATGACATTCCATTTCTTTCACTCCAAGTTGGCCGAAAATTTTCAGGAAAGGCATTCATCTGTTTCCTTCCTTTCATTGCCAATCCTCTGTAAACATACCAACTTGCGAGTGCCTTTTTCACAGTCGTAGTTAACACCTGCGCTATGTTGAACTCTGATTTCAAAAAAGATTTTAACAAAACTACAATGCAAAGGGCAGATGGCTAGTCTCCTCTGTGAACTCCACGGACAAGTGGACAAAATTACCATTATCTGCTTCCTTGCTTAAGTTATGTGTCATAAATAATGCACTGTGTACTGTGAACGATATGAAAAAACCTACATTTTTTGTGCCTTTATGTTCCACATTTTCTTCTGAACCACCCTCCTATACCTTACAACTGATTTCACCATGACCGTATCTCCTTAACAGGGATGCATCTTTACAATAATATGGAGACATCAAGCAGAATTTGGTTTCTAACAGTCAATACATTTCTCAATAAGAAAACAAAGACATGGGTGTTATTTGTAGTTTCTTCCAGCTTAGAAGCATATTTGTCTATTCAAATCTCGACATAAAGTAAAACTGAAAAGTTAAACCGGACAATTAAGATGAAATGATTCAAATATACTGTTCTTAACTAATAACAGTACTAATAATATACTAAATCTATCTATAATAGTTCTTGTTTTTTCAAAAGGTAAGATTCATAAACACCTTATGTTGTTTTCTTCTTCTTAAATACTCTCTTCATTTTATTTCCTGACAATTATGCATTCGGATCTTCTTCAACCATTGTTGCGGTATTAGTTATACCTATCTTGGCTGGTGTGTGTGCAATATCTGTTAAGTCGTTATATTCAGTGGAATCCTGCATATATAAAATACAAAATTAGTGCAAATCAGTAATGAACAAATATTTACTAAAGATTTATTAATTTATACCCTACAAATAATATAATCAAAAAAATGAATAATCTAAAAAATATTAATACTGTGTTCATAGATTCAGAAAGAAAAAACCAAGTGCGCATCTACAACTTTTAAAGTTATAAAAAAACTACTCCAAATCTGTAAATTTATTCAGAGAGAAATCCTTCAACATATGTAAGTAGCTTTAATGTTAAAGGACAAAGTAGTTATGTATTTACCTCGCATTCCTTCTCTCCATCCAAGACTTGATTATTATTGAAGTCAGGTTCCTACCAAAAATTAATAGATAAATGAGTTTGAAAATTATGATTCAAATCATGCAATGTAAAAGAAATTTGCAATCTAAATATGCTATGAAGTTTGTGAACAAATATGACATACAGTTAAGTCATCTGAAGGTTGATCAGAACTATATTTGTTTATCAGTTGCTCCTCATCCGTAAGCTTAACAACACTGTAAACTTCCTTTTGCAGGTGAATGTTCTCTCTCTTGATAATAACCTTAAACATGAATTTTCTTTGGAGAATATTGTTCAGCTCTACTGGATAGGGATACTTCTCAACAGCGCCAGTATTCTAGAATGAAATGTTGAGTTACAATTTTGCAAATAACATATTTAAATTTAATTAGTTGATATACCTCAAGAAACCCTTCCTTCAATTCTTTTGCGGATTTGCCTATGAGAAACATGGTTTCACGGTCCTAGAGCAATAGAGAAACAGATCCAGTAGTATCCAGTACCCTAACCTGAAGCTTGTACCTAAATGCACATTTGATTTGAGATATAAATGTAATATTTTGAAGGATTAAGGAAATATAAATGTAATATTTTGAAGGATTAAGGAAATATAGATGATGGTTTTACCTAATAACTGCTGAGTAATCTTCATGTTTACATTTGGGGTTTGGGCATTGATAAATGTTTCCTAATTTATCCACCTTCTTTTGACACTTCTTGCAGCTGACGTACGACCATCCTTTTTCAAGTTCTAAATTTTCAATACTTGCGACAATCCAACAAGGACCTTCCTGTTGAATAAATTGATTAGACAATTGTTGAATAAATTGATAAGACAAATGTAATGAAAAGACATAGAGATTATGGTCTATAAGAATATTAAACAAATAACATAAATGTAATTGAAGAATTTTTCATCTTCGAAATGAGGAAACACTCTTTCAAACTAGAAAATAAGAATCCTAATACCCAAAAATAAAGTTGAAATGTAATGTAATGACATAAAAAAGATGGTCCATGTGGCGATTCATTGACATGAGAAAGGGATAGGTGCCTATATGATATGGATTAGGATTTAGAGATGAGCTGTGCCAACATGCCGTTGATCAAAAGCTAGGCGATGTAGTTTATATGACTTAAGAGTTCAAATATAGATAAATTCAGCTATAATGAAATTTCTGGTTGCGATAATTTTCTATAAAAGTTGAATTGTTACTATGGTGTGATTTTCTTTGCCTGTGGCTTGCTGCATTAAACATCTAGGAGCACTGATGGACCTGGTCTTGATTGGACAGGATAAAAGGAGAAAGCTACATGCTATGGCAAGTGGGCGGGGTTCTCGCTGAGTCTGATTACAGACCATATATCATTGCACATCTGAGCCTTTATTTTTTTCCAAAGTCTCAGTATGCCAGAAAATGAGACATTGTTATAACTTCTACATTATGATTCTATGGAATATGCATAGCTACCTCAGAATGATATTATTTTTATTAAACAATATCAGTGAGAACTTTAGAGGAATTGGAGTAGCAAGTTGTTAATCTGTTACTACCTTACAATGCATTTACCCTAGAGTGGAAAAAGCATTAGAACCTAAATCATTCTTCGAATTCAAGGTCATTTTCAAGTGGTACTCAATGATGAGGGATCACATATACCAAGAAAACAAGCATTCACAGGAAACAGAAAAACTAAGAACTCAACTTACAAACTCAGTGGATCATTGAGGAGTTGACTCCACAATTAGAATTTTCTCCATTCTTATAAACAACGTAAGACAGGAACTAAACAACTATTTCCATTAATGTAAACACAAAGCCTTGCCAATCAAAATAAAAGCAAGAATGACATTCAGATTTGAAGAGAAAAAATCTGCTAATACAATTGACTTGATGTCCTCTCAAACATATGGATCACTACTATGTAATACTACTACTACTACTAATATAACTATTATACTCAGTAAGACCAACTAAAGTCACTCAGCCTAACTAAAGAGTCCAAACCATTTCTTCAGCAGCGCATATGGATATCTCTACTTGTAACGTTTGTAAATGCTCAACTCATTTTAAAAACCATAAAATAATAGAAAAAAATATGTGAATTTTTGCAACTTTTAAAATGAAACACAATTTAAATTAATACTACAAAACTTAGTTTACTCACTTGCATGGACTCCACTAATTGGCTAATTGTTTTAACTTGAACAATGCCCTTCTCCAACTCATCCGAGACTAAGTAACTTTGTTGAGAGATGGTTTGAGTCAGCCTCTCGGAGTTATTATCCCGTACAGAAAGCAATCTGTGTTTATGAATGAGTAAAACAGTTAGATAACTTATGTGGAAAATTTGATTAGAGTATATAAGCAGTGAAATTTTATATAAATAAATCAATATATATATATATATGTATGTATGTATATATATATATATATATATGTATGTATATATATTGAACCGTGTTTTAAATTCATCAGATTGAGGAAATTTTGGATTAATCCACAGCTTTTATGCATTCCAAGTATTGCGCATAGAACATGAATCTATCAAACAACGTTCGTGTTAGATATAATGAATAACTTTCGCAAAGTAATGTTAAATCCAGTAATTGTATTTTACCTTGATATTTATGGGCTTTTATGAGCTGCATAACAACAATAATAGGCTGGTTGTTAGCACTTAGCAGATGAGGTACAATTTCATCAACAAACTCGCCCCAAAATGTAGCAGACAACTTCTTCCTCCTGTCAAATAGAAATAATAATGTAATTTTAGCATATGTAATTATCAAATCAATCCTTAATGAGTAGATGAATATTTATTCTTACTCGTCATCTTCTAGTTCAATATCCATAAATTTCCCAGAAATTCCACCTTGGTTTTGCGTATGTACCTCACTGAAATTGACAATTTCTCCAATGACATCTAAAAAAACAAAAAAATTGTTAAACTAAATAGTAGAAAAAATCATAATTAGAAATTTAACGTAAAAGTTATATTTACCAAATAATTCAGTCTCGTTCACGTCAACATTATTTATCAATTGATCGTATGGTCGCAAATCAAAGATATTCATTGGGAAAAGTGTATCAGTTGTTTCAACCACTGTTGTCCGTTGAGTAAACGTCAGCCTCAACCTATGTTTCATGGTGTTGAACTTCTCCTTATTATAACAAACGATAAAGTTCGCCATATGATATAATCCAAGCTCAATTATTTGTGTTTTGAAAAGATGCAAAACTGACTTGCCAATAGAAGCACTTATCCGATCGCCCTACAAAAAAATCTATCTATAATTAAAAGCACATTACATTACATAACAGAGATTACAAATTTCTAGTAATAGTAATGTATATTAACTCAACTTTTAAACAGTAGAGTTGAACAAATAACTTGACAGTCCACAACGCAAAAGTTCTCAATTTCTTCTAGTTAAGTTCAAAGATATATAACGCACTTACGTTGTGATTATTCATGGAAGAGGCATAAGTATCCCTCAAACTTGTCTCGAAATGTCAATTATACAATTGTGTTTTGTGAGTGCTATTATACCATGTAATGAATGAACATATGAAGAGATTTTGATACTTTTTTAAAAAAAAAATGAAAAGATTTTGAGGAAAATCCTTTAGAGTTTCTCTTTCAGGCCTCTGTGTAGAGTATAATTCATGGTCAAAATTAAGCTATCAGGCCAGAATGTTAAGACTTGAATATTTCACTTCACTGAAAGCTAAACGATAGGACAGTAACATTACCGCTCCGAAAAAATTGAACAGAACAATTGAGATATTTTTCCTTAGAGAAGAGTAAAACTCAAACCTAAGTATATGTAATGAATGAACATATGAAGAGATTTTGATTCTTTTTTTAAAAAAAAATGAAGAGATTTTGATAATTCTGAGCTTGAATATTCCCTCAATCTATGGGGCTCAAAAGTGTAGAGGAATGTGGTAAGGCAGGATAGAATCAGAATTTACATCATAGAATCCTCTAGTATGGTATAATCAAATCAAATAACATTTTAGATTATACAAAACAAAGATATGGTCGATAATCATATAACAATAACAATTCCGAAAACCAAACAGAATTAGCAAGTTAAAAACAAATTTAAAATACCTTTTCATCTTGTAGAACCAATTCAATCGAGAATATAGTCCCAGGATTAAAACGATCCGGTACTTCCCACAAACAGACAACACGAACTTTCAACTTCCATTGCATCTTCGAAATAGTTATATCGTTGATGAAATCAATGTGAGTAGCCATCTTATGCATAAGCCGTAAGTTTTCTTCAAATCTTGATAAAAGAAGGAAGTTTAGAATTGAAGAACGTCTAGTTGTGGAAGAAATATAAAGTCCTCCACGCTTGAGCAGTTGCTACCCAGTATACAGTACGTGGGTTAAGCAGTTGAATCCATCGGCAAGTTGGAGAGAAAATTTAGGTTAACTTGAAGGTAGAAAGTAATTACCTTATATTGTGGAGCAAAAGTTTTAAAAAATAAAATGATTTAATATTTTAAAAACATTAAAAATTAAGATAATTGAAAAGGAGTTTGAACGGTTTAGAACTGAAAGGTTTTGAAGGCCATTCCTATTTTTAAGGAAGCAGGCGGTTTTTAGTATTACAATGATTTAATAATTGGAAAAAAAAGTTAAAATAAAAAAATGCACAGAAGGCATCTATTAACGAAACAGTTACAACTTAAAATAACAGTTCCTAATGATTGAGGAAGTAGGTGGTTTTTAAGTATTAAAATGATTTAATAATTGAAGAAAAAAAAATTGTAAAGAAAAAGAAACATTTTGAACGTAAAGATAATATGTAGAAAACGAAACAGTTACAACTGAAACGTGTAGAAGCCCACTGCTATTTTTGAGGAAGCTGGTGGTTTATTCCAAATAAAATGATTTAATAATTGAAAAAAAAATTAAAATAAGTAAAATGCACAGAAGGGATCTGACGTTTTTTAGAAGAATTGATTGAAGGGTAATCCAATTAGTGTAATTCCTAATAATTAGGAGTAATGTCCTAACATGCCATGTGTCATGTTATTGTTTTGCCATTTGGCTTCATGAGGGGCTTTTGTCTTTTGCTTTTAATTATAGATAGATTTGGATATTTAGTAAATAAAAAATCCGAATTAACACGGCCTACATAAACATCTACTTCCTTGGTTCAGATTTGCAAATGCAAGGCCATCCATAGCTGATAGCACCTGTAATATCTCGAACTTATTTTGCCATTTGAAGCATCAGCTTCTTCAGCTGGGGAAATTTGTACATCTTTTTGCATTCAAGGGTGTGGTTTAATGGTCGATGAAGTAGGTTGAGAATCATAAGGTCTCAGGTTCAAATCTCAACATATACAAAAACAATAAGTAATCTCTTCTCATCTGTCCAAGCCTTAGTGGATAGAGTTACCTCATACATATGCTAGTGGGAGATAGCAGATACCTTATGAATATAAAATTAATCTAGGTGTGCACAAGCTAATATGAACACCACGATTATAGAAAAAAATTAATCATCTCAATATTTACTCCAAACAAATAAGTGCACATAGCATTCGATCACTTTACCACGGTTAATTAATATGTATTCTAACCTTATTCAAATCATGATAAGTTAATATTATGCGCATAAATATTTACTTTCGAGCCTTACCTACAAAGAACAGTCCTGCCTAAATGAGTGTAACTCGCACTTGTAGTTATTGTTCATCATCCAGTGTCCCTTTAGAAAGTCATCACTTAAACTCCACTGCCAAGAGTGCACAGGTCGATATTGCGCCAGATTTATCAGACTGCTTAATCAAATTATTCAGGCCATGAGAACGAGTGATTATTCGACTTTCCTAAGAGTAATTATATAATTGGAATTTGGAGCAATATTCTTTCTTATGTCCAACTAGATGCAATCAATTCAGAGCAGATACTCAAAGTAATCCGACATAGATAGTGCACGACTGCATTCGTTTGGATAGAAAGGAAGTTATTACAGACCACATTTTCTGTATATCTGCTGCAAAGAAAATTCTAAATAGATATGGCTTTAAAGGAAGTCCTGCTATAAAGCACAAGACATTTGAAGGAATATTGTTAATTCATTTTTTTCCATTTCAAACAAGTGAATACTAGATTTTCTCGCTTTACATTGTATAATTAACTAAAGAAATACATTTTCCAACTTAATCCAAACTATGGCGTACAAAGAACCACAAGGAATACTAGGCTACGAGCACATAAGTTCACACACATTGTAACACCAACCACCCTGAAAGCTTGGATACTCAATATTAAACTGGATAGGACGTGCAGATTAATAGGATATTAGGATTAAACAAATTCAACTCTCAAGCAAGAATCAAAGTGAAAAATTGCCACCCAACAACATTGCAGCCATTCAGTTGTAAAACCACATCAGCAAACTTCGCAGACAGATTCAAAAACAAACAAAACATTATAGGGAACTCCATGAGTAAAACTAGCCACATCTAATTAGATTTGAATCTTCAGTATTACTCAGAAGTGATAAGCAAAACACTAAGAATGTAACTCCACTAAGCACAAGCCACAATTTAAGTCTTAACTAGTAAAAATGAAGATCCTCCATCAGACATCCTTGATCAGGCATAAAGCCTTCCAAAGCATCCAACGGCCTTGATCTTATCATCTACTCCGTGATGCCTCACTGCACATGTAAATAGACAATAACATCAAGAAGCATTCAAATAATATCAACATGTAGACACATGTAAATGAAAAGCAACAGCTAATATCTAGACAACCACCATTCGAGCCTATAGACTTTTGTTGTCAAAACAACCTGAAGTAACTATGTCATTCAAAACATGAGCACTAAAGAACAGGTTAAATTCTTCTACCCTGAAGTGTAGAAATGATCATAGATATACGAAACAGCTAACAAAGAAAGCATCATACAACTGAGAACCATATCCTTTTGATAAGCCAGAAATAATTTTATTGAGGATAGACCAATTGGTACTCATATACAAAAAAAACTAACATCAATCAGCCAACAAATATCTACTTACTCACGTACTATATCAAACTATCTACTTGCTACCTTTTTCGGTAATAGTGTATTTGCCTTGGCATACCCCTAAGTCTTAGAAAGCTATTCACCTACCTCTTTCTGCAATAGTGTATAAGAATCCTTGCATCCTCCTATCAACAGGCTGGACCTCAAGTGTTCATGGATGATGTCCTGGTGTAGCATTTGCAACATATGCAACCATCTTATTTATTTCTCCGACTGAAAACAAACACATCAGCCACAACTTCCGACTTAGCAGATGAATATTGCTGTACATTCATGTTCTATATCCCTTGGCATTGGTGCTGCCCCTAAAGTC